GAGAGTTCATTTTATGTAAGTCTGTCCGACAATCAAATCTAAATATTTTATCATACTTCACTGATATAGAAATCTTGAATTGCGATAAGTGTTCTCCAAGATATAAAAGTAATTTCAGCATAATCTATTATGTTCGATTATTTTAGAAACTATATTACTAATTATAGAATATCATTAGAAAGAAAACTTCATTGGCTACTAAAGTCATGACTGTAACAGGCCGCTTCAATTAGATAACGTTTGCTGTTCTATCATCTGTCAGATATAATTGATTTTGTTTTTGTCCGTTTGATAAATTTCATTCTGTATTTAGTTTTCAAGATTTCTATCGATTTAATACTTCATAATGTTGTTTTTTTTGCTCTACTATTAATTATTTAATCATGAAAATAAAAATTATCATACCTTTATCTTCAAGATAAGGTAGTTTTCCTTTTTTAAATGCAATTCCTAATTGTCGATTATCATGTAAATTAAATGGTTCAAAATGTTGTGGAAGCATTAAAAGATATTGTCCAATCTAATGAATAAAAAGAAGAAAATTTAATATAAAAAATTTCAAAAAGAAAAACTCTTCAAGTTACTTTTGTAATATTTTCTTGTGGAACAAGACTAAATGAAGGCAAATCTGAAACAATTGTACCTCGATTTTCACTTGCCCAAATCTTAAAACGAACAACAACAAAAAAAAAAAAGACAAAACATCTATAATGAAATGAATTTTAATGTTTTATGATTTACTGGTAATTTTGAAAAACCATTAAGAAGTGTATGAATTGGTAAAAAGACAACATCAAAACTAAATTGATGACATTCATCACTAAATTTACTCAATAATTTTGGTATATCAGGGAAAAGACTATACGTTGCATCTATATAAATAAAATAAAATAAAAAAACAAAATAAATTAACAAATAAATTTGATGTTTTTTCGTTTACTTTCAAGCGCATTCGTAATTGATACAAAATCATGTTTATCTGATGATGATGTTTTATTAATGAATGATTCAATTGCTAAATTAAATATATCATGATGTTGTTTATGTCTATAGAAAAATTGAGTTTTATCAAATATGAAGTATAGACTTATAGAAATTTACTTATTAGGTTTATTTGGCCATTCATTTATCATTTGTAACATTTGTTGAGCTAATGATGATTCAAATTGTTCATAAGCAAGAATAAGTTCACCTGTTGTTTTTTTTTATTTGATTAAAAATAATAGAAAGTTTTCGTTTTTTTTTAGTAAGAAATGTTGATAAATTTTACCACATATTTCTAAGATACGAATTGTTTGTTGAAATAATTCCCAATCTTCAGTACCTAATATTTTTGAATTTCTTTCACGAATATTATTGACTACACGTTTTAATTCTCCAATATAGGTAGTAAAAAATTTCTAAAAATCATGTTGTATTCATAAGAAGAAAACAGCAAATTTGATCTTTCTTTTCTCGTTTTTTTCACATACTTGAAGAACACTAAGGAGGCTAATAATTGTTTGACCATTAGTTAATTGTTTACATCTGTCAATACTCTAATTGAAAAAAGCCAGGAAATCAGTTACAGATTTTGTTTCTTTTTTCTGTTTTTTCTGAATAATTCATTTAATTTACCTCATTTGCTAATGAAAATACATTAGATATTGATGACATAAGTAATTGAATACTCGATGAAGTGTCACTGGTATCCTAGAAAATATCATATCATATACAAAGAGTTTTCCTTTTACGTTTATAGCTATATGTTTACTACGAAAATATCCTGCCCATGGTATGAAATTTAGGAATGAGAAAAATCGGCAAATGTGTAATGTTTATATTATAAAACCTAGAGACAAACTCCACTATTTGCTTAATGAAACTATTCCATTTGCGGACGATACAAAGAAAACACATAAATAAGTTCTATTTTGTTTCTTTTAATAGCTGGAATTTTTCTTATGCTTAATTCTTATATATTAAATGAATGTACAAATTCATATATATATATATATATATTGTTTTTTATTGATTTTAGTATGAATAGATAATTTTCAATTATTGTCTAAATTATCAAGTGTTCGGAACATAAGATGGCTTTTCTTCCAAATCGAAACGAATGAGAGATTGTTCTGGCTGCATTCTATATTTAGTATTTGGTGGAAAACAGAACGAAGTGACACACAACATCTGACACAGATTCTATTAGAATGAAGAAATATTTTCCTTTAATTGTATGTTTTTTATGGATATTCTTGCTCTGCATATCTCTGCTTATTTTTGCACATACACTCTCCAATCAAAAGACTAGATCGACATAGAAGAAAATCAGCTTTGTCAAGCAATTAATACATACTAGTTGAATGGCATCGAGAGCATTTGTAAGTTGTTCTTGTTCATATGTAGAATAATTTTGAAAAGTATTCGTATATAGTGAGTATAATTCAAAAACAAATGTTTCAATTGTTGACGATGAAAGATTTTCTAATACAAAACAAAAAAAAAACAACAAAAAAAATCAATGTTACTTTTCAACAAATCCGAATCAGAATAAAGATAAGATCAGTTAATATAGAAATAATGATATCATAATAGAAATTCATCTGAAGGTCTTTCTTATTTCTTCACATATAAGATTTCCTACTAATCAATAGTTAACAACAATTAGATAAGTTAATCTTTTCAAGAATAGTTTTTTTTTTTTTTCTATTCTAGTCAAATATGAAATCATTCAGTTTTTTTTTTAATATTAGAGAAAGATTCTAATTATATTATTAATTAGGAAATTTTTTCGTTTTTTGAATGTACCGTTTGATGATCGAATGCCTTGAGATGATACATTTAGATATAGTGGTTGTAATTGATTTTGAATTGATTTACCAAATCGATCAGTAACCTAAAAAATTAAATATATTGTTTTGTTTTTTCTTTTAATTTCTTTTAAAATATTATAAATGAGACAACAGACTCATTATATACAGGACATAATAAATAAATGTCATCATTGGATATAGATTTCAACACAAGCTGCCCTTTGATTTCTTTTTGATTATCCTCGTCTTTTTTTTCTTTCGACACATAACCTATTCATTGGCATTATACGATACATTGGCTATCATTCCTATACATATATATATATATATGCAGATAACAGTTTAGAAGGATGTTTGCTAAGAACAACACGAGGCAAAACATTTCATGTGTTGACAGGTTGAATTAAGAAATGGATATAATTCTCTTTTGAGAAAACGAATTTAGATAAATATAATGAAAAACAAAACATAATTAGATAGAAAATAGAATTTGACTTAATTGATTTGATCTTAAAATAGAAGATTTAGCAAGAGAAAAACATAATAAAACTTTAATTTTGTTGTTCTTTATCCTTCTTGTTGTTTTGCTGTTAGTAGCTTTATAGATTGACTCTTAACTAAATAAGTTTTTTCTGACAATAATGATAACAGTAATCTTCTGCTTGTTTGTTTCTTTCTTTTATGTCAGTTTTTGGAGGAAAGACGTCTTGTCATGGCGAGTTATGTTGATAGATCTTAGCTTTGCTTTGTTCCTAGTAGTGCCACCAGTTTCATCCTATACACCATTTATCAAACTAATCGACCAAAAACTGACACAAATAAAAGGAAGAGGATAACGATGCAATAACGAAAACTCTGCCATTGTTACTTATTTACAAAATAAATCTATACCAATGGAAAGCGATTTAACCAAACGTCGTCCTTCAATAATACCAGGTTGTTTACCTGGTTTACCGGCTGGATGGGCACCATCAATAGATACTGTCGAAGAAGATGCAAGTGATGAAGAAAATGAAAATTCCCAATCTTATCAACCAAAAACACTCTCCTATTTACCACCAATAGCAAATTATGAAAAAAAACCATATCTTACAATAAAAAAATTTCAATATCAAAATCCAGCATCCGGTCAAACAATGACAATGTCCATGGCACATACATATGGTATATGTGTATTAAATACTGAAGCTGAAGAAATAATAGCTTGTGATCATTATAATAATCGTTTGCTTATGTTTGATTCAAGTACTGATGGACGTTTATTACAAATATTTCGTGGTGATTTAGCAACACCAGAATGTGTTGCAGCACGACCACATCATAAACAGCATATTTATGTAACAAAAGCTCATTCAATATGTTTATATGATTTGGAAAAGAAAAAAATTATACAAAAGTTAGGTACCGAAGAAAGTGGTCATGCGAATAATCGATTTAATTTACCGCGTGGTATTACTGTCGATCCAACTAGCGGGTACATTATTATTTGTTTAGACATATTTTGTTTCTATAATCGTATATATATCTATATATATATATCAATATTTATTTATTTATCTTTAGAGAAATTTATATGTGCGACACATGGAATCATCGAATATGTGTTTTTTCACCCGATTTTCGTTTTGTTAATCGTCGTTGGTATTTAACACGATGGCAACAAACACAAAAGAAAGTAAAACCAAGTTTTATAGCTATTAATGGAAATAATCAATGTGTTTGTACATGTGAAGAGGTACCGGATTATCGTGGCGCTGTTTACGTATTTGATAAAATGGGTTATATACAAAAAATTTACGATTATGAATCACGTAATAAACCACCAAATGTTGAAGCTAAATTAAATGTTCCACATGGAATATTACTTGATGATGAAGGAAATTGGTTAACAGTTTGTTATTCAGATCCTGAAATACGCTCAGTTGAAAGACGATCAAATGCTCAAGAGGGTGAAGACAATGATACAATAACCTATTGGCGTTGCAAAGAATTAAAAGGTCCTAGTGGTTTAGCAATCAAACGTGATCAAACATTAATTATTGGTGATCGAGATAATAATTCTTTATGTTTTTTTAAACAACAGGAAGCATCAAAATCAGAAGCAAAAAAATAATATAAAGAGAAAACAACAAAAAGAAAATACTATTAAATTCGCTCATATGTCTGTAACAAATGCTTAATTAATTCTAAATACTTCGTAGATTTTTATTTGTCACCTTTGATTTTCTTTTTCTTTTTTTCTACTTTTCTATAACTTACTCGTTTACATGCAATTAATATATCGAGTCGTTTTTTTGATGATGGTGTTTGTTGACATTGTAGTTCTGTATTAAATTGATTTTTATATTTACTATGAAAAGTTTTAAGACCATTTAATACGATTGAAAGTGTAACGCGATTTGGATGATTAAAAATTTTTGTAGACCAACGTATCTGTAAAAACAAACAACAAATAATTTTAAAAAAATACTATATATGAAATTCTTTTTTGTGTACCTCATCTTGCCAAACATTCAATAAATAATCATAAATTGCAATAAAAATTGATTCATGTTCACCATTAGCACTATCAATTATTTCTTTAATACGTGCATCAAGACGAGTCTAAAATAGTAAATAGTTATTTGCATGTTTTGATTGTTGTTTTTCAGTTAAGATACGAAATGAATAACAAAAACTTGTTAGTCTAAAAAAGAAAAAACTATTACTTGTACAGATGTTACGTATAAATCTTCTAATTGTTCTGCACGATCCATCGATTGAAATACTTGTGCAAATGATCGAGCCATTTCTATAGATAATTTATATATAGAATTCTGAACACTATTTTGTTTTTGGATAATTCTATTTTAAGTATAACTTGTTCACATTATTGACTTTTGAGATATAGTTTTCGTCAAAATTATAGTTAGTCTTTAAGGTCATCATGACTTATGAAGGAATGTCTTCAGATACCACATTCCAATTTCAATGATTTTTGTTTTGCCTATAGATACTGCATCTTGTTCTAATAAAAATCCGAAAAGAATTTAGATGCCTATTCAGATTTGACTAAGCTATCAAGTTTTTAATATGTTTAGTTTCTAGAGATCCTAGATCCTCAGAAAACTCTTATTTTTGAATTTTGATCTGAAACTTAGTATATATAGAGAACTGACTTAAATTAGCTTGCTTTAAAAAGTTTAAAAGTATTGAATAACGGTTCTCAGAGATATGAAACTTTTAAGATATAAGTTCTTGTTAATAGATGATGTATATAACATGAATTTTTTCAAATTTTTATATCTTGACGAAACTTGATTGAAAATTTCTGAATTTTTTAATGGAAATTGGTCTAGTTGAATTGTCTATATGCATCAAGTTTGAAATCAAAATTTGAAAATACGAGTTCTTCGAAAACCTGGTGCATCTAGAAAACATGCATATTAAAAGTTCGATAGCTGGGTCAAACCTGAATAGGAATGCAAATGGCTTTCTGCCGAGAGCTACAGCTAGTATTAATTGTAGAAAAGATACCTAACTAATAAATCTGCTGCTAAATAGCACTCTAATCGAAAGACAAGGGTATTCTTCATTTGAAATGTTTACATTATGTTCACAGAAAATTTTATCTATTAATGTTGAGCCATCGTGAAACTGAATGTATAACAATCTAAAATAGCTAATTTTCGTTGGATGATCTTTTAAATTCAGTTATTTTTGTCCACAAGTGTTCATAAGAACTGAAACCATATAAATCAGAAGAGCAAAGCAGAAACTATGTATCGATAATGAAAAATTTCGAAAAACATAATGTCTATGAAATGAAATGTTTATTTTATGATAGACGTCATGTGAACTCAATTATTTTTATTTAATTATTAATTTTTCTTTTCAAATATCATATTCGAACGAATGTCTCACACTGCAAACATTTCCAAAAAACAACCTCACAAAATCGAAAAACATTTTATTCACGAAACTTTACATCATCTGCTATTTTTCACATAAAGTCTCTCATAAAATATACATTTTACTTCATAGACATTTTGATTTTAGAAAATAATAACTCAATTTTAAAGATCGTCCACAAAAAATAAATAAACCACTTGAAAGTGTTATATGTCAAAACTCAATTCTATAAGAAAGTTATACTTAAAATAAAATCATCCAAAAAAGAATGTGTTCATTATTGTACAATAAAAAATACATGAATAATAATCATATATGCATAGATTCATACCAACATCTTGTGTATTAAAAGCAAGTACAACTGTTGGACTCATCAATGCTTCAAGACGATCTTTTAATGTTTCTAATCGTTTAACACGATCAGCATAATCAGGAACATCGGTAAGAATTTTTAATGATTGTTGCATAGCTATTAATTTTGTTGCTATCTAAAGAATTAGAAAAAACAAAACGAATAAAATTAAGTTTTTTGAATGATTATTCAAAACAGCTATGACTTCCTTCAATCTTGAAAATTTTTTAATTTTCTTCTGCGTTTTCTCTCACTGTTCTTTCCTCTTTCTCCTGCCACAAATAAAAACCACTCAAATCTAATCCGAAAATTTGGTAAACTTTAGCAAAAAAATCTTTTAATAAGATTAAAGTTAGATATTGCTTTCATACTTGTACAGTATCTTTTGAGTCAAATGTATCTTCAATTTGAGCTGATAATGTAACCCAATTATCTGCTTCTTGTAATGCTTTTGATGCTGATTGAATACGATTTTTAACTAAATCTAATTGGATTAAATTTCGCATTCCATCTGCTGTATCTTGATTGACTTTTTGAATATCACCTCGTACTGTACGCATTTGGTCTTGTAATAAAGTTGCTTCATGCCTAAGAACATCAATTTCACGAAGAACTCTAAGAAAAAAATCAACAAAAAAAAAGAAACAGTTATTTTTGTCAATTAAATTAAATACAATTATAAATATTAACCGAGGAAATTGTTGAATAGCTTGTTGACTTGTTTCTTCAATTGAATTATTCATTTCTTGAATATACATTTGTAGCTTTGTTATTAATGTTCCTGTGTAACTATCAACATTTTGATTCGATTCTTTTTGTAATCGAAACGCTTGATTAAGCCAGTCAGTAACATTGAATTCATCATCGAAAAATTTCGAGAAATCCTAAAAATCAAATTTGTTTTTTATATGATATAAAAAACTATAAAGTATCATAAGATTTACCATAAAAGAAAACAATTTTTGAAAAACTTTAGACAAATGACACGATTCAATTTTATATGGAAAGAACAGAACAGAACATTAATATTCTTAGTGGAGATTTATCTAACCAATCAAATGATAAAATATATTGAACTACGGAGGACGATGGCATTCAACATAGTCCCGCGTAATCAGTCAAATTCAAAGTAGCATATAAAAATAAATTAGATTTTTCAATTAAATTCATCTGCACCCATTTGTGAACAAATTATTGACAAAAATCTTGGAATTCAATGAGACTCATGATTTTAAGACAATGTTCTATTGTGAAAGGACAAGTGGCGGTAAGGCCATTTTTTCGCTCCGAATATTTTGCAAAAACAATTACATATTCGGAATCAGCCTTAAATTCTGAGTAAAATCAGGTATTTTTTTCTGGAGAAAAATGTTTTTCATTTTACACCTGCTTTTTTACACCTGTGGGGGACCCCAGAGTTGTCGAAACATTTTTTTTCTTAAATTCTATTGAGTTATACATCATTTGATGCAATTTTTAACGCTAATTTCGAATTTCAGGTTGAATTTTGAAAAGAACGAACTCTAATCGAGAAAAAACAGAATTTACTGTAGGATGCTAATATATGCTATTTTCATTTACCGTTGTCAAGCAGTGTGTCAGTCGTATGAAAAAGTCGGAAATATACTTAGCCATGTTCGATATCATATCAATAACGAGAATCCTGCAAAAAAAGCGCTTCAAAACCTAGTTATGGATATCTTTTTAGACGAAAAACCTAGAAAATCAGCAGAAAGCAAAGTTTTTGACTTCTTCGACATAATGCTGTAAGATAAAAAAATCTTGATCCAATAGATGGCATATATAGACTAGTGCAAATTTTTGTGTTCTATCTGATTATGGAATCTAATGGAGACAAAAAATGTGGATCAGGCAAGGGGGAAATCACGTACTCGGAGTACGGGAGTACTCCTGGAGTACCAGGAGTACACGGGAGTACAGGGAGTACATGGGAGTACACGGGAGTACATGGGAGTACAAGGGAGTACAACGAACGTAATAATTTATTCCGAATATTTTTTGAAAAAGCATTGAAATACTGCTTTTTTTCTTGTTTTAATTTTTAAACGACCTCAAATAATAATTTCTTCAGTAGATAAAGCAACCAGGACGGTATATAGTGGATGAGACGTCGCATTCTTCTTTCTCCTCTTTGTTATAGTTGAACGCAAGAGGAAAAGGCAGGTTCTCAAGATTCTGAATCCTTGGGAGCACAAGCGGAATTCTCGAAATCTTGGGAGTACGATTTATCCTATAAGGATATCCATAAGTCTCCATTGGCTATCATATGGGAGTACGAAGGGGGAAAACACGTACTCCTTTATTCTGAATACTCCCGGAGTACAGGGAGTACAGGGAGTACATGGGAGTACAACAAACGTAATAGTTTATTCCGAATATTTTTTGAGAAAGCACTGCAAGGCTGCTTTTTACCTTATTTTAATTTTTAAACGACCTCGATTAATAGCAAGGGGGGAAACGGCACTCCGAGATCTTAGATACTCCGATGCTCTAGCTGGTACTCCGGTCCTCCTGACTGTCCTTCGTATGA